AGAATTCCCTCTCGAAGAGACCCTGGACACCCCCGCCAATAAAATATCAGACCAAACCAAGCCTTTCTAGTAGTGAGGTATCGAAAATCGAAATGGTGTATTTAAGTGTTTTACACTCACAAAAAAAAGAAACCTATCATTCTATAGGTATTTGAAGAACTTGTAGCATTCCGCCACAATTTAATTATTCGTATTGTTAGCCGACACTGGGCAGCTGTAGTACATAATTGAATGGAAGAATATATCATTCCAAGCTTTTACTTGTTGTTAAACAAATGTTTAAACAACTCTATTCAATTATGTACTACAGCTGCCCAGTGTCGGCTAACAATACGAATAATTAAATTGTGGCGGAATGCTACAAGTTCTTCACATACCTATAGAATGATAGGTTTCTTTTTTTTGTGAGTGTAAAACACTTAAATAAACCAGTTCGATTTTCGATACCTCACTACTAGAAAGGCTTGGTTTGGTCTGATATTTTATTGGCGGTAGTGTCCAGGGTCACTGATAGTGGAATTCTCCGAAACTAGTCTGGCTCAAAAACACCCCTCCCCAATGAAAGAATAAACAATTCCAAGCTTTTACTTGTTGTTAAACAAATGAGTTCATAGTTTTGTTGCTAAGCGACACAGACGAACAGAGCGTTACCAAAAGACAACTGGCTTTTATACATATTAGATTTCTTTCTGTCCTCTCTCTTCTTTCTACTCTAGCATTTTGATTCTCTAACTTCTCTCTTTTTATTCTAATCAGTAACTCTGCTGATTCATTACCTTATTCATCCTCTTTCTATTTTTTTTTATTTTTATATCTTCCTGCTACTCTCTCTGTCAGTTCATATGTTCGTTTTTTCTTTGTTCTCCTTTCTGTCAATCTCTCTCTCTCTCGAACCATTTTTTCTTCATACAAGCACTCTGTACCCGTTAAGTTATCTCCTATCTCTAGAGTGGTTATAAAACTAGTGTAATTTCCAAAAACTAATGGTACATATTTCCTTCATGCAAATATGCAAACTATTTTACTTATTCATTACACAGTCCGCCCTACAGACTATTTCATCTTGTATTTTTACAATTTAATTATTAATATTAACTTCCAATCAGAGCAAGATAATACCTACTTAGATCAAAACTGGTAATGATCAAATTGGTAATGAGTATCTTTAACTAAATATAGTTATCAAGATTAGAATGCTTTGTTCAATCAGTTAAGTATTCTCATTGTTAGCGATATTTTCGGTTGTGAACCCAATAAGATCTCTTGAGTTTCGGCCAGCCTCGAAGATTCAGACTAGTCCTAAATTCACATACTAAGCTAATAATGCAAAAAAATATATATAGTAAAAGTATAATAATAAATAATGAAGCTAGATATGTTACAAATTCTAGCCAGTGACTGAATACAAACACTTTAGCTTCAAGTATACTTAATGTTTGTTGAACAACGTAACATCAGTATAACAGTATATAAACAAAATTTTCTACAATCCTCCCGAAGAAAGTTTTGTGACCAATGAAAACCCAATAAAGGAATCCGACAGTAATTTAGAAGAATCTGATATCTGAAATGAATTGCTAATACACATGTTACTGCTTAGGCGTGAGTTCAAGTAGCAGGACAGTACCAATATTAGTAAAGCCAAAAACTAATGTTTATGAAGACACAAAATAAAAAATAAAATGAATACTGAATCGTTCAATAAACATTTAATATGTGTGTATTCTAATTAAAATATATCAATGTTAAATGTAGTATAAGGGAAAATAATACATTAAAGATACTTTGAATAAATAAATGAGTTTTTCCAACAATGTCTCTTTTAACAGTTGTTTTATGTTATTGTGAATCACAGCGACGTCAGTGAACCAACTATGCTATGAGATGTATCTAACACCATTAAGCCAATTTTAATTAATGTTTTTTATCTAATAAACCAATAAAACGTAATAAATAAAGTTTTATCTTCTGTAGAGGAAACTCGATAATATTAGAGAAATTCCAATAATAATAATAACCACAGGAAAAGGAAGTTACATCAATCATAACTATGACAACTAAAATAAGTTACAACAATCGTAACTATGACAACTAAAGTCAGTGACACAAAACTAATACAATTTAACTAATATGTGATGCTATACCATATATGGAACTGTTATATAACTAGTATTAGTAAAAGTTTAGACTAACAGAAGGTAAAATCAATGGTGGTCAATATGTTAAAAAGGTCCAATATTACCTTCAAAAAATTTTTAGAAACTTAATTGTAGACCAGAAGAGGTTGTGGTATTCTGTAAAACCTTTAAACGAATTGTTAGTAGCAAGAATATTGTTCAATTTCGTATAAAACCTAATGAATTTTGAGTTTAAAATGCGATAGGAGAAGTTCCGTTTTTGAAAAATGTTTTATAATGTTATACAAATTCTATTTTATCAAATAAGCTATAAGCAGTAATATTTGTAACATGACTTATTTAGAAATGAAAAATTGCTGCAAAATCGCGCTCCGCATATTGGGATCGGGGATACGTTATGAGTACTATTTGATTAAAGTAGACCAAGACCTTAGAGAGGTGTCTAGCTGCATTCTCTCTTGTTTATCAGTTCGAAGTCAGAAATGGCTATCGTGTAGTTTTCGATAAATACCTGAAATAAACTAAATCAAACGTTCTTACTTGCTTAACTCCTTTGAATAATATTTCTAGGTTTGTTTGCTTTATTAATTTAAGCACAAAGCTACATAATGGGCTATCTGTGCTCTGCCTACCCGGAGTATCGAAACCCGGTTACTAGCGTTGTAAATCCGCAGACATACTGCTGTGCCACTGGGGGACATATTTCTAGGTTTTTTCATTAAGGCAGAAAAATCTTCATGAAGAAACATTTCATCAGAACAGAAAAAGCTTTCATAAAGAAACACTTCATCAAGACAAAAACATTTTCATAAAAAAACACTTCATAAAGGCAGAAAAGCTTTCACAAAGAAACACATCATTAGGGCAGAAAAGCCTTCATAAATAACACTTCATTAGGGTAGAAAAGCTTTCATAAAGAAACGCCTCACCAGAGCAGAAAAGCATTCATAGAGCAATACTTCATCAAAGCAGAAAAGCCTTCATAAAGAATCAACATGATGTATCATATTTAGATGATTTTTTCAAATAGACAATCTAAAGAAAGTTGATAGTATTTTTTAAAACATTGCTATAATGTAATGACTGAAAATTATTTAGCCAGTTTCACTGGAATACACGGATAGTATTTAAAATCATGATGAAGCAAAAATCCAAAAATTCCCATCACATTGGACATAAAATCGCTTACGGGTATCATTTCAAAAACTATTAGAAATCAAACTACCCCAAAAGTGTTAATTTGAGGAATATCAGAAGTTTTTAAGAGGACTGTCATAAAACATCTTTACGTACAAGTTAATACTAAAAGGCACTGATTGTTTCACTAGACCAGCTCTGTGATAAGTACTGATTGTATCACTAGACCAGTTCTACACTAAGCACTGATTGTATCACTAGATCAGTTCTGTATTAAGTGCTGATTGTATCGCTAGACCAGTTCTGTACTAAGTGCTGACTGTATTGGTAGACCAGTTCTGCAGTAAGTACCGACTTTATCACTAGACCAGTTCTGCACTAAGTACTGACTTTATCACTAGACCAGTTCTGTATTAAGTGCTAATTGTATCGCTACACCAGTTCTGTACTAAGTGCTGATTGTATCACTAGACTAGTTGAGTACTAAACACAGACTGCATCACTAGACCAGGTCTGTACTAAACACTGAATGTATCACTAGACCAGGTCTGTGCTAAACACTTATTGTATCACTAGACCAGTTCGGTACGAAATAAGTAAACATTACAGAAAACAACATCAGGACGTATTCCTACTTACAGGTCATCATTTACTCGGTAGCCCTTTATATGTAAAGCTGACGCTATTAAGTGAATATAACAAAAGTTTTATATTCATTCAGCTACACAAATTAAAAGTAATAAACTAGTAAACACTATTACAAACTTAAATAATGTCAGCCTTATGACATTTTTTCTTAATTAATATAAGATGGAAGTTTGACAGGTTTCGATCATCAACTTGTTGTCACTATTTTATTTTGCACAGTTGTGAATGTTGATATTTATAGAACATTTTTCTGTCCTTTTGGTCAGTAATGAAATGGATTTTTAGATATGCTAAAAATTCTGTTTTCAAATACTTAAATTTTACTATTCAAAAAACCTGGCTTACTTACCACTACTCCTCTCTGAGCGTTCTGCTCTCTTTTTTACCAGCAGAACAATGATAATAGCAAGGAATGTTAAAGCAGAAACGGCTCCCACAAATATTCCCAGGTGAGGTATAATAGTAACCGGGTGATCTGTTGGTAGAGAAATTCTTACTGTTGAAGAGGAAAACATTAAAGTGTTCAATATGTTCTTCATGCGTGCTCATTGAGTATCCATTTAAAATGCTTTATTTGTCTGAAATTAATCTTTTTTTTAACCGCGTCGACATTCAAAGTAAAAGGTTTACCTAATATGTTTAAAAATATTTACAGTGAATTTCTATAACGTTTTTCTGAGAGGTAGTCAGTTTATTATAATCACTTTAAGTTTTTTTTTGTACATAGATTTCGTAATAAATATTCAGTTAATTGTTTTAAAACACCATTTAATGTTCGTAAAATAGATATAACAGAAAAAGGAATTATCTGATTTATTAATAACCGAGAAAAGATAAACTTTTAAAAAGTTCTTGAGAAAGGTCATTTTGAAAACTGTTACTGGAAATTTAATGTTAAATGTTTCCTAAACTGTAAAGGGCGTGTAATATATCTCTCTCCTCTGTCTGACACTTCTGTACAGATGACGATATATTTGCGTGAGCAAAAGGAAAACAGATGATTATATGACTTAATAACTCTTAGCTATAAAAACAGCTGATAAACGTTTTAAGTCAAAGAGGACGCTTAATCGACTGGATTCTGTTTTAGAAATAAGTTATTGATTAACCAGTACATCAGAAACGTTGATATCAGAATATTACGAATTCGTTTAAAAAACTTTTTAATTAAACTAAAAAAGAAAACTTTTTAGTTTCAATAAATACTAAATATTATTGGCAGACGAAGCTTTTAGAAACAATGATATATAATTTTTCCTATAATTTAAAAATCGTTTAGAACATCACAAGACACCGATGAATTAATAATTTAAATTTTACAAAACAAATATCATATTTATACAATAATGTCGTGTTCCCAGCCAAAGTGATTTAAATCAAAAAGTCATTTTAACTTTAAACTCAAACTAAAAGATTTGCTGTAACTAATTTGCTAGGATAAAGTAGTTTTGGTGAAAATTCTGTTGTGTGGAAATATACATAAACCGTACTATGCATTTCAGGACTGTTGAACATAATACAAAAAAGGGAATAACCTACCTATTTATAATGTATAAAGAGTCTTGTGCCAACTAAATAGTAACTGCTTACAAATATTATTATGATAACACAAAGATTCTAAATGACATTCCTAATTCAACTTCAATGAAATAAGTTTGGAATATGAAAGATAAAATTTGTCAAAACTGCAGAGTTGCTTCAGAAGTGTCTCTTCTGTTCATTCCCTTACGTGAAGCTGTACGAGCCCACTTATGTTCGCAACAAGGATTGGAACTGTGATTCCTAGCTTAATAAGCCCTCGGAAGGACTAGTCCATTCCAAACTCAAAATACCTGATGAATAAGTGATATGGATGATATTACACGTGTATGTATTAAGTTTCTCAGGACAGTCGAGGTCATTCGAATTTAGCAGAGTTGAACATTTTCTTTCCCAGAACTAATTCAGCTGAGAAAAAAAATCATAATCCTACAGTCCTGTTAAAACGATAAATGTCAGAGGCAGGATCAGAACAAAGCAGGAGATAAAATACAATTAAAACATAAATTTTCATAAAGAAAATTTACAAAACAAAACTTAAATTTTATAATCGTTTGTCAAAGGTCTCCGAATTCAAAGTTGTTTGGATAAAATGGGTGGGCTTATCATAGAAGTAAGGATCAGAAGAAAATGAATATTACTAACATCAGTATAGTAACACTATTCAGGTAAGAAGATGAAAAGTATATGAAAATAATACTAATTTGTTTAATAAATATTGAGGTCAGTCAAAAAATTACTACGTTTAACAGAGATAATGCTGTCTATATTTATTACTGTGATGCTTTGGTGTCAATGCTTTGAAATGGATTTTGTTTGGAGATTTTGTTCTGCATCACATAATTATATTTATCGAGACACAACAAACATACATTACGTTTCTGTTTTATAGGGTAGACACAACAAACATACATTACGTTTCTGTTTTATAGGGGAAACACAACAAACATACATTACGTTTCTGTTTTATAGGGTAAACACAACAAACATACATTACGTTTCTCTTTTGTAGGGTAAACACAAAAAACATACATTACGTTTCTCTTTTATAGGGTAAACACAACAAACATACATTACGTTTCTCTTTTATAGGGTAAACACAACAAACATACATTACGTTTCTGTTTTATAGGGTAAACACAACAAACATTATGACCCTATAAAACAGAAACGTAATGTATGTTTGTTGTGTTTACCCTATAAAAGAGAAACGTAATGTATGTTTGTTGTGTTTACCCTATAAAAGAGAAACGTAATGTATGTTTGTTGTGTTTACCCTATAAAAGAGAAACGTAATGTATGTTTTTGTGTTTACCCTATAAAACAGAAACGTAATATATGTTTTTTGTGTTTACTCTATAAAACAGAAACGTAATGTTATTTGTTTGTAATAAGATTAGATGACACTTGTGTAAGTTTTCACAGAGATTTGTAAAGAAATAAAGCTGGCGTTTAATAGTATACAATAAGTATTCAATATGAAACTGTCTACAGTCTCAAAATACAATACCAATTGTTTTAAGTAAAACAGTTTTATTGTATTTCGACACTAGGGACAGTCTCATTTTAAATATTTATTGTGCACTATTAAACTTTGGGTTTATTTGTTTCTGTTATCTGTTAATGTGGTTCTGAGTACCCTTTATACCACAAACGACAAACAAAATTGATTATTAATTATGCCTCTGATATACTGAATGCTTATGCTTTAAACTCTCACAAATCTCACCTCTTAGCCACCTAGCGGACACCTGTGTTTGAGCAGTTAAAGTGACAGCTGGACTTTTCCCTTTATCGTTAGAAGAATAAACGAACAAATCAAATGAAGCTCCAGGAATGAGTCCAGAAAGCCTGAAAACTGGTTGTCTGTTTCTGGTGACGTTAGCCTGGAGTACTTGGGATCCAGACAAATAGGCCTCGACATGGAAAAGCTGTTCAAGACCGCCATCATCTCCAGGAACACACTCAACGAATAGAGATTCACTACTGTAATTAGAAATGGTGCAGTTCTGAACTTGTTCCGGTGGGCCTGGAAGTACACAACGCATTAGTCTGATAAAAAAAATAAAACAAAATCACATATATTAGATCTAAATAATTGAAAGCACAGGTTTATACAAACACTGCTGCACTCGTAAAATGCTATTTGTGACATGAACTGCCCAAGTATTAGTCAAATGACTTTAAATCTTTAAAGGAAAAGTATAATACGTTCTACTTGGTTGTTCATTGAAAAAAAGAGCGGAATAAAATCTTGAACAGTGAAAAAATATTCCCTTATCCACTAAAGAACATTTCCGGTATTTGATAGCAGGGTCTTTTAATACATGTTTGCAGGACAATAAAGTAAAGCCTGGTAGATGTACAAAAGTGGCTTTGCTTACATACGTTAATATTTCCAATTTATTTCCTTCCCTGTCTATAAATACGAGAAGTTTTATAACATATTATGAATAAAAAATTCATGTCTTACATAAACACTGTAAAACTACAAATAAAATCGTAAAAGATTTATTATGGTAGAAAATTAACGTTATAATTTTCACATAAATCCAAGGAAGATTTAAGTAAATAAGAATTACGTTTTTTAGCAACTTCAAGTGCATTATCCGAACATCAGGTGAAACCTTTCATCAAGCGTTGCAAAATCACAAGTTGAAAAACAAAATTTTCAAAGGCTTACATAAAAATCAACAACTCAGAAAAAAATATCGCCCTATGCAGATTTACTTTTTTGTTCAGAGCACTTTTTCCACAAAACAATAAAAACTGGAATTATTAAAAACGCGATACTTGTACACATTTTTTCATGATTACGGATGTTATTATTCCTTTTTGAACCCAATAAGATATTTTGTAATCGCTTTTAAGTACTTCACGTCCTAGTCCAGACAATATGCTTCTTAACCACAAAAAATAATATTTTAGCAACTTCCTTTCTATTTCTCAAAGCACTATCCGTGTAAAAGTGTTTACAATCAATCACCCAAACTTGTATAACACCCATTAAACAACCGAACACCAATACTAGTATAAACCCAACCCACCACCTTATCTTTTATAATCGAAAAACCCTCTAAACTTTATGACGCCCCCCAGTGGTACAGCGGTATGTCTGCGGACTTACAAAGCTAGAAACCGGGTTTCGATATTCATGGTGGGCAGAGCACAGATAGCCCATTGTTTAGCTTCGTGCATAACTTCAAAACAAACAAACAAACTTTATGACACCCAACCAAACACCTAATTGGCACAAACTCAGTTCTTTAACATGTATAATCCCCCCAAAAAGAATTAATACTTTAACCAGTATAACACCCAATCAAACACCCTAACCAGTACAAACTCAACCAACCACCCTAACTTTCATCTTTCATATTACTGAGAATCATTCAAAAGGTAAACATAGAGGGCAGTGAGTAATGTTAATAATTACCGAGTTACATGTGTAAAAGTTTTAAATATGTTTACTATATAACTCATTAAATGTCGTGCAAAGAGAACAGCAATTCTAGTTCTTCTTTAAGTGAATCAGAACAACAATAGTGTGTATTTTAAGAATTTAGGTAAAATATATCAGGTAGTGAAACACTAAAAGGACTAGTAAAACAATGAATTAATAAATTAAATTAAATTATTTTGGTCGAAGATACGACTTATAGGACACTTAAAATCAAGAAAAGAAATTACAATTATTTGATATTCACATATGTTATTAATAAACTAAATACCGATTTTTATGTATATATAGCACTCGACAGAATTCAAACATTTACTTATTGGTTTTTTAACACACTCTATGAAACTTTCAGTATCTTAATAAACACTAACGTGATTACGATCAAGTATTATTCCGTTAGATGTTTTTAGCAATCTAATCTATTTGGTCGAGATTGCACTGTATCCAATTTTGCAACCTAAATTAAAAAAATACACCCTCACCCCATTCCTAATTATGCTGCGACTCGTGACACTTTAAATCTACTCTGTATTCCATACAATACCCCATTTTAGTCGTTTTTGCTGTGACAACAGGGATTTCTTCACAAGACTTATAAAATATGTTTTATCCAAACGCGTTACCTTGTTTTCTTAATTCAATCCGAGTCGATGCAAGAGACCAAGTATAAACCAAACGTATTACATTACCGTTGCGCTGTTCCTCCCCATACATTTGTACAATCATCATGGACAAATTCTATATTCTACAAGAGGACACCAGACAGAACAATTTCACCGACTCACCCGTAGTTGTTTATAACATGGCTTACGTCTTCGTGACACTCTTGAACGAAATGATTTCTATTACTCTGACGAAGATCCTCGATGTTGTCCTTGCGGCCATCCCTGTTGTGTCATTGGGTTCAAGTTGATTATTGTATTTTGGTGGTCAGACCAAAAGGACAATATTCCATGAAATGATGTTTCAGTTGTTTATCAGAATCGGCTACTTACTGTGTAACCATTAACCCCTGCTTCACGTTATATTAGTGTAGTCTGCATGTTAGCGAGACCAAAAAGGCCAATGTTCCATCAAACGAACTGCTACTTTTATCTAAGTGTCGGTTGTTTTCTGCGTATCCTGTCATCTTTGTTCCAAGTTATACACACCAGTGAGCCTAGGCGCAAGGTCAGAGAGCGATTCTGAGAATATCATATAAATAGTGGCAATCTCAACATACCTGTATCTCAAATATTGCAACAACAAAGACGTACCTTCCACATTTCTGCCCTGTAGTCTTAATGTCTGTCTCGAAAGACCAATGCTTTATTCACCAGTAGTTTCGGTGAAACAGTCGTATTTTCTTTAGTTTAAGGTTTTTCTTATTCCATTTATTTAACTTTCACAAAAGTTTTATCTTATTTTAATCTTCTTGTTGTTTCAGCGTAAAACTATACAATGGGCTATGTGTGCTATGTTGACCGCGGATGATCAAACCCTGAATTTTAGTGTTATAAGACTATAAAATTACCGCTCACTCACCAGGATACTTAATTTAAACTAACTGTATTTTTGTTTGGCCTTATTACTTTCTTCCAGTCCCCCCCCCCCAGGTGGTTCAGTGGTAAGTGTTAGGGCTAATAACGCTATAAATCGATACTCGTTGGGGGAAGAACACATTTCTTCCAACAATTCTATAATCAATTATTGTTTTACTTTTTTCGTGTCTCGATTTTTGTGAGCATGCTTTTTAAGTTTGAGGCAAAGCTAACCTTAATCTAAAACTACTTACTAGAGGGAGGATAACCAGTCAGCAGCACCCACCGTCTACAAGACTTCTCCTTACGCAATAGCGGGACTGAATCGTACCGATGGGTTTAGGTTTGAAATTAATAACACTGACATCTATTGTTGCAGTTTTACTTTTGATATATAGTTTTTTATCGACAATTCAATAAAATTGATAGTGGTTTTGTAACGGTCAAGTATTATATCGACATTTCATAGGTTTTTTATATAGCTTACAGATGACGCACAGAATATCTGTTTTCTATCATCCAGGTTGATTTTAGATTGCTTTGACATTTTTATTAAAAAATTGTTTCTACTTTAAGTCTATATAGATTAAAATGTTAGGGGTCATGACCTCGCTTATGAATACCTGTACACGAAATTTCTTAACAGAGATTTAAAAAAAAGAAAAAGAAATTTAGTTTCTCCAAAGCTGTAAAAATTTAAACAGCTGTTAAAATTCCTTAACTTTCTGCCTTAACAAAGTATAAACGATATTATTATGTTATACTGTCTGAATTTCTGGTATTTTTTAGCACATTATACTTTCTTATAAAGAAAAACCTCAATTCACAAAATCTATACTTTGAAGTTAAAATGTATATTAAGCAGTATAATTTACTGCATAAATTTCAACACAAATGTTAATCTCAAGAAACACCATCTTAAAGTTGGTGGAAAGAAGGCTGGAAAATAGAAAATGGAGATGATTGGAATTTGCAAAGATATCCTACGCGACATGTGGGTTAATCGTCAAGAGCTAGGTTTGTGTGGAAATTCGAGCAGAGCCACACGAGGGGTTATCTACACTAGTCGTCCCTAGTTTAGCAGTGAAAGACTAGAGGGAAGGCAGCTAGTCATCACCACC